GGATGGGCTTCGCAGTGCCTTGATTCTCTGGTCAGGCTTACCAGATGGTCAGGACTGTATTCAGTAATAGCAGGGTTATGGAATCAGTTTCCCTGCCCTGGTAGGGACCCAAGACCTGTGCAGCTTGTTGTATGGGGACCTGAATCAGGTTGGAGTGTACATTGAATTCTCTAGTTCCATGAGGCTATCAGTTTTGCTCTGAAGATGGGAGAACCCACAGGCTGTGCTCTCTGTTCAAGTGCCATTGTACATAAGGCTATTGATGGGTTATGCAGCTTCCCAGGTGCTCTGGTTAGGTTCCCTGGTCAGACAGGCTATAGGTTGTATTGGTAATGAGTGAGGCTACAGATTAGATTCCCTGCCTGGGCACAGCAGGAGAAGCAGCTCTAAAGCCAACAAAGCTGGTTGTTTGTTGTCTTAACTCAAGCTGTCCCACACCACAAGCTCCTTTACCATACAGGCCTTTGTTCTGAAAGCCCGTCACCTGCCCATCTTTCAGTTCTCGTGCTGCTAGACCACACAGATTCTAGGAGTTGGTCAGTTGGGGCTAAAAGACACTCTGCTGTGGGTGGGGCTATGTCTCAGCTCCCTGCTGAGCAGGAGGGGGAGGGGTCACTCCAGCTACTTTCTGTTTCCCAAACAGGTTCTCAGGTAGACAGGGGCTCGGAGCTACCCTCAGCCTTAGCTCTGAATGAATCCCCCTGCTGGTACATAGGATGGGGACACTCCACACCCCATACTGGCTTTGTTCTCGGTGTTCCACGCTGCCCTCCCCCTTCTTGGCTCAAGGACCGCTGGATCTCACAGCTTCTGAGAATTGTCACCAATCCTTTTGGTCAGATGGAGCTGGGAGACACTCTCCAGTGGGTGAGGCTTTGATTTACCTCCTTGCCTGGGTATGAGCATACTGGGCTATAGGGCTGATAAAACTCCTTGCTTAAGAATCTGAATCAGACAGATCTGTACCCACCAAGTTCACTGATCAGTGTGTGCCTCCAACTTGGTTCTTCAGATGAGCAACGCCGCTGGTTGAGATTACTATTTGGGCATTGCAGGTATGAACTTGGTCTGCCAAGATCTATGTCCTGGTTGTTGCAAACCCCTACCCCTTTATCCATCACAGTCAGATTCCCAGTGGTGGAACCTCACAGATGCCCCTGTAATTGCCATGGTGTAGATCAGAATGGGGGCTCCTACAAAGCAACCCACAATTTTTCTGGGGGGGGTGCTGGTTATACTCTTGGGTATCCTCAGAGGCTCAGCAGAGACTTCTCCACGCAGTGTTGTGCTGGCTGGGGGTGCGGCAGTGTGGTCAACTTGTGGTCTCTTCTGTAACCCTTCTAATGCAGTCTGTAATGGTCTCTGTGGTGCGGGGGCATGCTTCGGCCTCACCCCCATGTTCCAGGACTCTCTTGGTGGTGTCTTGTTCTTGAGTAGTTGTTCATTGCTCTTATGAGGGAAAGCTAAGTTGGGCACATCCTATGTTGCCATCTTGGTGACTGAGAGCAAATATTCCTCTTTTCATAGTTGTTGCCAAGACTCATGCTTGTTAAAAGTCTTCCAAGTATGTAGACTAACAGTACTACAGAAGCAAAGTGCTTTTCCTCCGTTACAAGGTTTATTTTAAATTTCATCCCAGGCAGTAAGTTTGGAGTCTTAAGGTCTGCTATTTGTTTAAATTTAGTTAATCCATGAGTTCCAAGAACTCTAATCACTGAGGGGATTTTTAAATTCATATTTAAGAGTGAATTGCATTTCTCTGAGACTATCAGCTGGCAGCTACGAAGAATTAGCAATGAAAAAGATCACTTCTCTCATAAATTGTCTTTAGAAAATATGTTGTATTAATAAGACAGATGTAGGCACTGTTCCCATAGGTTTTGACCTATTAAAAAAAAAGTGGTAGAAGACTTTCAAAAATTCACAATTAGCTATCAAAATAATTAAAGAATTGCCTGAAGCAATGCCTATCAGAAGTCTCTTTTTCAAAATAAACAACAATTAAAGTCTTGCCTTGGCCTCTCAGCCCTCTACAGCCTTGTCCAGCAGCTTCTCTGGCCACGTTCCCTGCCCCTCTTTCCCCCTCGCTAAACTGCACCCACACTGACCTTTTGACTAACCCTCTGACACCCCCCAGGTAGGTCCTTCTTTCTGGAACATGCTTCCCCCAGTACTTGTCCAAATGTCTTATTTCACCAAGCCTCTGTTCAAATTTTACCCCTAGAGCATTTCTGTTCTCTGTTCTATATTCTCTACATTATTTTTCTTTAGACACTTATAAATACCTGGGTTTCTTTTCTTTTTTTTATTTAAATTCAATTAGCCAACATATAGTAGTAGTAAATCATTAGTTTCAGATGTAGAGTTCAGTAATTCATCAGTTGCGTATAACACCCAGTGCTCATCACATCACGTGCCCTCCTTAATGCCCATCACCCAGCTACCCCATCCCCCCACCCACCTCCCCTCCAGCAGCCCTCAGTTTGTTTCCCGGAGTCCAGAGTCTCTCATGGTTTGGCTCCCTCTCTGATTTCTTCCCATTCAGTTTTCCCTCCCTTCCCCTATGATCCTCTGTGCTGTTTCTTATATTCCTCATATGAGTGAAACCATATGATGATTGTCTTTCTCTGATTGGCTTATTTCACTTAGCATGATACCTTCCAGTTCCATCCATGTGGATGCAAATGGTAGGTATTAATCCTTTCTGATGGCTGAGTAATAGTCCATTGTATATCTTTTCTTTTTATCCTTCCTTCTCCTCCTTCTTTCTCTTTTTCCTTCCTTTTCCTCCTCTTCCACCTCTTTTTTAAGTTTCTGGCTCCTCCAAGAGAATGGAAGCTCCATGACAGCAGGGAATATGTTATTGTCACCATAGCATCCTTAGTCTCTGGAAGGGGGCACACAATCAATATTTGTTGAACAAACAGATCTTTACTCTGTGCAGATACTTTCTTTATACAACGTTGCACCCTCAGCCCACTCCTTAATGTTTACACTGCTTTCCTAAGATTATCTGAAGACTCAATTGGCCAAAATCTAACAAATAGTCTGAATTAAACTAGCCCTTTCCAACCTTTTTCCATCAGAGCCTGATGTGTTATTTGTAAAATAATACGTGTGAATACAATAATGTTACAGGGCAGTGGAGAAATGGGAAGGGATTTAGAGCTTGATGAAAATTTTATTTCCTTCATTTTGTAAAATTACAATGAAATCTAATTATAAAATATTAGAGATAATATTAAAAATTGAATGTATTCTGAAGCTTCCAAATAAAATATTCAAAAAAAATTATAACCATTAGTACTTCACAGGGTGCCTGTAACCCACTTTGTTGCACACAATGATAGGTTCTTTGGGAAACTCTGAGTTAAGAATTTAGTGGGAGTTTTTTTTGTTTTGTTTTTTGAGTTGTTTTTTGTTTTGTTTTAGTTTTGGTTTAGGACATTATGTACAAGTGCAGGTTTGTCAGTATCTTTGGTAAAACAGCTAAATCTTTTCAATAGAAATATAAATCAAAATGAAAACCATTAGTTGTGTCATTATAAAGTGCAGTGCAAATGCTGCCTAGCAGATGATAGATTTTTCTTCCTCCTTGGACAGTCTCTGAGAGCAGTATGGGCTAAAACCACTTTCATTAAGAACAGCTGGGCTCACTCCATATTCTCCTACTTATTAGCACTGTGACCCTGGGAAGGTTCTTTACCTCTCTGCGTCTGAGTAGTTTGTTTTACGGATGAAGGCAAGGGATTGATCTTTCCATCGGGAATCAACAATACAAATATTGAGCAAAGGAATAGCAGGGCTGTCGACCTCCAGACTTATCAAAGGAAGAGCAGGATTTCTCATCTGGTACAACAAAACAAAAGAAATAACGGTGCCAGCAAGAAACGTAAAAATTACAAAAGCCCTTCAGCAAGCTTAATATTCCTTTCAGTGGACCAGAAAATCTTTGGGTTTAACAAATAAAACTTCTGAGAGAACCGGACATTGGAAGCAAACTCAGCCAGCTGTCAGTTCCCCACACATATTATCTGATGATGGGAGAGCTGCCGGCTCTGCATTTTCCCCCCAAGTGGTGAGAAATAGAAAACAATGAATGATTTCATTTCATTTGCCTTACAGTAGGCTGTTGGGCCCTACAATGCTGAAAACCAGTAGGCAGATGGCTGTTCAGAAGATAGAGCTCTCTTCAGTTTTAAGTGCGGGCTGCCTTCTCTGTGTTTGGGAGAGCGGAACTTCAAAAGATCTCGTCCTTGTACTTGAGTATCAGCACTTTGAAATCTAATCCAGTTTTCTGTAAAATTTTCACAATCAAGAGTAAACACAGTTTGGCACAGATACCAACACTTAAAATTTAGGCTTGAGGCCTATTGTTTAATCTGAAGCGGATTGTCTTCCATTTTTAAATGTTTTCTTCAGAAATGACTCTGATCAGAGCCCTGTTTCACACAAATAAGGTGATTTCACCAAAAATGTTGATGGTTACTCAAGGTAATTGCCTCTCAAAAATCTATCTTCTTTATATATTTTAATTATTGGATACCTGCCAAACTCAGCTGAGATAAGTTAATGTTTAAAACAATAGCAGATCCCATGACTGCTAAAAATTTCTACAACCTAGGAGAAGGCAAGCACATGAGGAAATTTTAATTATGATCATTATGTCAGAATGACAAGAAGAAACAAAAATGGGAGGAGAAAATAATGTCCTTCTGTCCTGAAGTTACTCCAGGACACCAAGGCTTCAACTGGATTTGCCAGCATTGCCACTGATTTTTTTGTGATGATTCATTCTTCGCCTTTCATGACGTGGAGACACCCCCCACTGTACACCTTGTCTCCAGGTGGGGGCAGAGAGGGCCAGCTCCCCACCCAGCCTGAGTACTCATGTGGTCCTGATGGAGTAAATGGGGGTCCAAGGTGAAGTTTAAGAGTTGCAGTTTTGATTTTGAAAAAAAAATTTGACTCAGTGATTTAAAAACTCTTTTTCTTTCTAGGTGCCCTAGCTAAAATTTCACCTCTTTCATCACCCTGTTCCTCACCCCCCCAAGGGACTCCTGCCAACAGCCCAGTCAGCAAAATTTCTGCAGTGCGGTTTCCAGAATCTGCCAACACGACTGCCAGACAAGGCCTAGGTTCTCACAGGGCATTAACTTATACTCAGAGTGCCCCTGACCTGTCTCCTCAGATCCTCCCTCCAGCTGTTATATGTAGCAGGTAAGGATTTTACATTGTTAACTGGTATTTAACCCATCCAAAAACTATGATTAGTGTTCCTCTTAGGAGCACTCACCACCAGTCTGCACAGCTCTCTACAGGTAGGTTTGCCAAAGAAGTTGACAGGAAAGTAAGTATAGGATAATGTGATTTGTCTTGAGTAGAAACTTGCTTTTTCCATGGTTTCCTGTTAATAAAAAGCTTAGAGTCCATAGAGCCCATACAGCTAACCTTTGGAGATGATAGAAAAATACGTAGTTGTATATTTCCTCTGCTTACTAATGGAGAATGCATAAAGCAAATAATTAAGAAATCATATCAAGTAATTTAACATTTTCTTTTGGAATATATTTTACTTGCTCTTCAGGGAGGATTTTATATCCGTTTTAAGGATATTTTAAGTTTGCAATCCCCACTTTAAAAATGTATAAATAGGGGCGCCTGGCTGGCTCAGTCGGAAGAGCATGCGACTCTCGATCTCGGGGTTGGGAGTTCGAGCCCCACGTTGGGTGTAGAGATTACTTAAAAATAAAAATCTTAGGGGTGCCTGGGTGGCTCAGATAGTTAAGCGTCTGCCTTCGGCTAAGGTCATGATCCTGGGGTCCTGGGATCGAGCCCCCCATCGGGCTCCCTGCTCAGGGGGGAGCCTGCTTCTCCCTCTCCCACTCCCCCTGCTTGTGTTCCCTCTCTCTCTGTGTCTCTCTCTGTCAAATAAATGTATAATAAAAAATCTTTAAAAAAATAAAGAAAAATCTTAAGTAAATAAATAAAAATGTTCAGATAACACATGGCGCACCATGGTTAGACTCAAGTGGGTCTCTGAAGGCAATTAAGCAATTGGCTTGTACTGGTCTATCACTTCTAAATAGAATTGGAAATAGAAAGTGATGTCTTTTCACAGAGGATAAGAAAAAAAGGCGTCACATGGCAGGAGTAGTTATTTTGCCAACATTGTCATGAAGAAGGAAATCCCTCCTCTTAACTGATTACCGTATTGTTGTTCTCTAGTAATAGCTTCATCTTGAAGAGTTGATTTTAAAGCATTACAGTATTCTTTTAACTAGAAGAGTTAAGTGTTTTTACCCTAAGTGTAGTCATGAAAGTGCCTTGAACAAAATGCTGTTTCTTGGCTAAGGTTAATGAGGATAACCATTTGAGTAAATGAGTTACAAATAGCACTGGTTCACAGAGCTAGATTTGATTATTATATTCCATTTTAAGCTTCACAGATACCATTTTCAAATCACTTATTCATAAACTCTAAATGAATGCTCTTTCTTTTTCTAATCTTTATTTTTACTTCTTTTCTCTTTACAAATATTTTAAAAGGGAAAATCATTTTTGTTAGTTTATTTGTCCAGGGCCAGACTAAAAAGTTATTTTACCATCCCAAAGTTATCCTGTTACCCTCTCTATGAGGGCTGTTTTAATAAAATAATTTCTGTGGAATATTAATCCCGTCTTTCCCCTCCCCCCACACAAAAAGCATGATCTGAGATCAGTGATTCATAACACACATCACTTTATTAAAAGCTCTGAGAAGTCCTGCAAAAAGAAAACCTCTTGATTTTTGTCTCAGGTAGCATTTTCTGAATTGATCTGACCACAGAACCAATTTTTTTAGGTTAACACACAGTAATTGCCCATGGAGCAAGTGTGTGGTGGAACATCCTTAGGAAACATGTTTTTGTGGTATGCATCCCAAGCCAAGATGAAGCTCAGTGGAGTAATCGACATCAAGGACATCTGCTTCCAGCATTTCTAGGGAGACTCTCCCACCGTGGGCTCCAAACTTGTGGGAAATAAGTTGCCTAAAGAAAGCAGAGATGTTCCGAAAAGCTCTACCACTCCCACAGCTTTCCTCCTCACAGTCTATTTTTTGTACTCTTAGAAGGAAGAATGTAATGGGATTTTTATAAAAGAGATTTTGGAGAAAAACAAGAGAATTTCACTGCCTACTTGTTCAGTAATGTTTATAAATCCAGTAGTGTGTCTTTTATTTGTTTGGGCTTTATAAATCTGTAATTCAAACCACATTCTATTATTGCCTTCAAGGCAGCCACCCATGTCGGCACAGAGAGCTCCAGAAACACACGACTAATTATTGTGGTTTCCCCTGCTGAACTCGAAGGGTTTGGCGTTGAATCCCAGTCTTTTGGCTTCTGTAATGTCTATGCAACAAGCTGTTTTTTTGGCATAAGAGGTAGTATATTTGAACTACTAATTTAAGTGTTCCTTTTAAGTATTATCTTGCAATGAAAATTCTTAAAACTAATAAACCCTCCATCTACCAAGTGTCACCCAAGAATGTAAGCCCATCATTTGTATCTGCTTTCTTTTTCCTTTGGTCCTGTCATTTTCTTTCGATTCCCTAAATCAGAGTGATGGGATCTCATAATTAGAAATATTTTGCATGGGATGCTTCTCCATTTATGTTTAAGGCTTGAAAATAAATTTACTCAGGATGAAAATATTCTCTAACTGGCAGATGCTTATCTCTACAACACATATATAAGCACAAGTGAGGGAAAATAAAAGCAATGAGACATTTAATAAATTATAAACCATTTCATTTCTTTTCCGTTTAGAGTGAGTACTCTGTGGCTAAATAACAAACAAAAACCCTCTGAGACCCTTTGTAATATTAGGCAGAAGAAAAGAACCCAGAAGCAAAAGCCAGAATTAAAATCTAACCATGGAGTCTCTGAACAAGATAAGTGAGAGAAGAAACTTGCCAGGCCATTTGTGGGGTTGCTTTTTAATTTATAAAGCAGTCAAAACTGTTGAGAAAACAAAAGTGTCCTACCTCCTCAGATGCCCTCTGTTAAAGAGCTCGGACTCTCCAGTATGTTCGTTTTTCTAGATTACTCACAGTATACCCCCTTGGCCTGTTTTTCTCAACTAGCATTCTCTGCAGTCAATTTTCCATTCACTCTCCGTCACAGTGTACCTCTACTTTGTTCATTTCCTTTGGGCCTTAGCAGGTGACTGATCAATCTTGACAAAGGAATTAATTTTTATTTTGCGGCAAAAAAAGAAAATTAATATGCTGTCATTCTATTTCCACATATGCAACCTTAAAGGGGTCTTTGTGCATAAAATGTCTTAAGCCTTGGAAATAAATCTAATAATGAGGCTTTTAGGCAGGTCGACAGGGAATGCATTGGGGAAGATATTTTTGACTAAATATGCCTCAGCACCTCCAAAATCACCACTATGAGCAGTAGCAGATTATCCCAGGATTCTCTAAATAATGTAACGAAATTTGGCCAGTGGTTTCAAATGTGCTCTAAACTGTGAAGGAGGATGAGCGTTGAGTGAAGCTTCTGATCCTTTCTATTGATTACATTCTCACTAAAAAGAAAACTGTCTATCAGCATCTATGCATAAAGCAAAATGAACTTTTTTCTTTTCAAATAAGTGGAAGGTGGAAACGTTTGATTATCATCTATCTTCATGTGTACATAGACAGTGTGTGCCTGTGATTTTTTTGAAAAGAGAGAATATACTTACAGCTCTTCCAATATTTCTCAGCTGTGGCAGACCATATCCTCAAGGGAATCCTGCTGATGGGCCCCTGGAGGGAAGCAGTGCAGCCGTTCGGACACCAAGCAGAACGGGTAATTCTTTGGGTTCTGTTCCTCAAAATGGAAATCACTTTACTTTTTTTACCCCCCCTCTAATCAAAAAGGTAACATATGCTTCTGATTTTTTAGATGACAAATGTAAAAAGACAATGAAGGAAAGTAAAGTCATCCCTAATCCTACTATCTAAGAGTTCATCATGGGTACGATTTTGATGCAAAGCTGTCCAAAATGGTTTTAAATACCTATACACAAATACATATGTATTTTTAAATTAGATGTCATTTTATACAATATATAGAACTATATAGAAGTGTCATTTTATCTTGGACACTGGAGGGTCATCCATTTTAGGATACTCTCTGAAGGTCTCCATTGCAGACTGAGAAAATACCCTGCTTAGATCACTATAAGCAGAGAAAAATGCCTTTTCTTGAAGCACTATTAAGGAGAGGTTAAGAACACAGGTGTCGGAGCCTGGTTTTATCCTTACTGGGCTACCTACTAATTTGTAATCTCTGTGCCTCCGTTTCTGCATCTGTATGTAGATGGGCATAATAATAGTACCTCCCAAACAGGATTGTTGTAAGAATTAAATGACTTAAAACATGTAACAAAAACACTAATCCGGAAAGAGAGATGCACTTCTATGTTTACGGCAGCATTATTTACGAGAGCCAAGATATGGAAGACACCTAATACACGATGGAATACTACCAGGCGTCAAAAAGAATGAGATCTTGCCATTTGTGACAACACAGATGGACCTAGAGGGTATTATGCTGAGTGAAATAAGTCAGACAGAGATAGATGAATACCCTGTGATTTCATTTATATGTGCAGGCTAAAGAAATAAACAGAAACAACTTGTAACAAAGGCAGATGCCAGAAGGGAGGGGAGGAAGTGGATGGGCAAAATAGGTGAAGGGAATTAAGAGGTACAGGCTTACAGTTATAAAATAGATAGGTCATGGGGATGAAAAGAAGAGCATAGGGAATATAGTCAATAATATTGTAATAACTTTGTTAACTACCCTTGTGGGAAATATTGCATAATATATATAATTGTTGAATCACTATGTTGTACACCTGAAACTAATGTATGTCAACTATACTTCAATTTTTAAAAGTCACATAAAGCACTTATAGTATCTGGGTCACTGTCAATAATTCATGTGTGCTGCCATTACTATGATAATTAGTATTTTATTTTTATTGATGCAACTCTTGGGACTTCATTTTGTTAGTGCTGAAAGTTCACAAGGTAGAAAACCCCTGGCTTCTCTGAACTACAGACTTTAGTGATAACGCTTTGTAAGAATGATTCTTAATTATCTACTTCAGCATTTATTGATACATACTCAATAAATATTGATTATTTGCCTATAAGAATGGTGTGCTGTGGCAATGTACCAAGGTCAAGAAACATAGGCAAGGAAAAATCAAAAGGAGAATTCTTTCTGACATTTTAGCATTCTGAAGACTCAGAATATTCCATTTTTTATGTTCCTGATCTTCTTTGACTCTACTGAGTCTGATACAATATGGGGAGTATTTCTTTATCACCTTTGTGGTCTCACAGAGAGCTATGACCTTTGAGTGTTCTTCATTTTTTCCTACAAATTCTGGGTTTGAAACTTGTCAATTAGATTTTCATACTGTGTCTCATTCTTACATGAGAAAGATTGCATGAGAAAAGTCCTACAAGATGCTCCTGATGGCAATAGGCTACATAACAAAAGCTATTATTCACTAGCAACTTAAGAAAAATTAGATACTCAATGTATGAGGACATAACAACAGTCACAGAACATCCAAAGCAACTGAGAAAGGAGAACAAAGTTAGAGGAAATACATTACCTGACTTCAAGACTTAAGCGGCAGTAATCAAGATAGTGTGGTGCAGGCTTGAGGATCAGCAGATAGACCAAGGGAATAGAATGGAAAGCCCCAAATTAGACCCGCCTCTACTCTGAATTTTCAACAACGATGCCAGAGCATTCCAGTAGGGTTGGAAAAAATGAATTTCACCCCCTACTTCACACCATATGAAACATCATTCTGTGATGGAGCATAGACCTAAATGTAAAAGCTAAAACAGTAGGCTTCTGAAAGAAGATAGTTTATGACTTAGGGGAAGGCAAAGATTGCATAGGAATCTTAGCAATAACCATACAGGGGAAAAAAAAAAAGGCTAGACTTTATCAACAGTAAAGAATATAGGAACTAGGGTCAGATTTCATGAGTTCAAATTCATGTGGCAAAATTTCAACAATTTACTTATCCTTTCTGTGCCTCAGTTTGCTTTCTGCATGTGAGGACATGAGTAATGCAGTGATGTGGAATAATACCTGCCTTGTAGGATTGTGTAGGTTTAAATAAGCACAAATGAAGCGCTTTTGTGCCATCCAGCACGTGGCACTCACTCAGTAAACCATTCAGGCCCTTACTCAGCCATGAGAAGCTTCTTTTGAGGTCTTTGCCCCAGAACCATGTTCTACAGACACTTGATAGTGCTTGATTGGGCCTTTAGTTAGCATGGTTTAGTGCTGACTGAAATGGGAGACAATGGAAGAGGCAGGTAAGAAAGAAAGCCACAGATTCCGAGGGATCAAGATTGGATACATAAGATCTCCCAGGCCCTTAAGCACATGCTATTATGCCATGTCCTACAGACCACTTAATACTTGGGTGTCAACTCAACTTCTCCTCCCCTTGTGCCCATTCTTGACTTAGCTACTCAGTGGTTTAGTGTGTTGGGAGATGCATAAAGGAAAAAGAAATACAAAGTTACAGGATTTTTAAAAAGTATAAACTGCTGCTGATCTAAGCATTATTACTGAGGAATTATTGAATGTCATATAAATCACAGATCATAATCCTATCTATTTCACTGGGTTAAAAAATGTCTACTTTTTCTGGGTGCCTGGGTGGCTCAGTCGGTTGAGCATCTGCCTTCAGCTAAGGTCATGATCACGGAGTTCCTGGATCAAGCCCCATGTCGATCAGGGGAGCAGGGAGCCTGCTTCGCCCTTTCCCTGTGTCCCTCTCCCTGCTTGTTCTCTCTCTCTCAAATAAATAAATAATCTTAAGTACTTTTTTCCCACTTTATGATCTTGCATTCTTGATGTGTAAGCTCATGAAAGCAGTATGTCCCTAAGCACGGTATATGCCATACGCATTTTAGGAATATTCGCTCAAATGAGACCCCTGTTTCCATTTGCAAGTTTCATAATCTGTTCTCTTTCCATTGCAGATGACACTACTCAAGTTACCTCTGATTATGAAACCAACAACAACAGTGATGGCAGTGATATCGTACAGAACGAAGATGAGACTGAGTGCCTGAGGGAGCCTCTAAGGAAAGCTTCTGCTTGTGGCCCCTACACGCCAGAGGCCATGATATTCCTGGTAGCTCCATATCACTTTGCTCATTCCTTTACTTAAGAAATTGCCTTCTGTGACAGAAATTGACTTAGAAATAGATCCCTGAATCATTAGATTTACAGATGTGTCTCTCTTGGATCACACATGCCTTATAACCATATCCCTATGTATCAGTATAATTTTTCCTTATCCAAGTTTTATTGATCTCTTCATGATTCTCTTATTTAGTGATTAAGAATGCAAGTATTCATCTCCACAAGTGATTACAGATACTTCTTAATCCTAGAATCTAAAAGTGTAGGTATGCATAGGGAAAATTATTTCATCCAGCGAAGCAGTATTTTATAAATATCAATCAATAAAAATAAAATAGTTGTCTTAGGGCTTCTGTTTTTTTTTCCTTTAGCACCTCTTTCATTGAGAAAGTGTGCCAATATTTATTTTCCTTATTATATTGAACTAGGTTTATACTGACATACTACCCATTAAAATAGGCTTTAAGGAGGACTTTGTGGGTTTATAGAGATCCGTTTAAAGAGGATAAAAGCATGTATTTGAGTCAGGTTAATTTCAGGGAAGCAGCAAATAGAAACACTACATCAAAAACTAATGATATATGCTCGCTAATTGAACATAATAATAAAAAAATAATTTAAAAAAATAGTTGGCTATCATGTAATTATCAATTGCTGCTATTATCATTTTTCTTTTATCTGATTTACGATTTATACTTTTAAAGAGATTGCCAGATAAAGTAATTTGTGTGTTTCCTAGTCCTCATTATCTTTATTTTTTATTTTTTTGGTAGAGGTACTCAAGAATGTCCTCATTTGGGACCAATTATAAAATCTCTTTACGTTAACATGGTCCATGTTTCTTTGGAAACCATACATCACATGAACTAAATTAAAATCTATGAAAAATGTGGCAATTATCATCCCATCCCATAGGATCAATGCTGATTTTGAAGCAATAATATAAATTTGGCCAAGTAGAGTAGGGAGTGATTAACTCCTCCCCACTCATAGGTTTCTTTTGAGAGTCCAATATAAGCCAGGAACCTTCCCAGAAAAATTTACATAAACATATAAAGAGATAAACTTACATATGATTTCAGTGTGTTCTGAAGTCCTTGAATCTTTATTTAAGAACCTCACAACAGGGGAAAAGCAATTACATTAACTTATGAAAAAAAATCCATTTTTTTTTCTGTAGCATATATGAACCAACAATAGACAGGCACCTAATATGAAAAATTCATGATATGAAATAGCATTAGGACCTTTTCTCCTAACGTGGAGATCAATGTCTTGTTCATCTTGGTTTTTTTTTTTTTAAGATCACTCATTTACCTTGAAGTTTTAAGTCATTTATTTTTATAAACTCAGTTGTTGAGCTGAACTTACCAAAGCACAAATTGCTTTGTAGAAAAACTGCATGTTCTTAAAATATTTTCATCTTCATTATAGGACAAGCCAGTTCTTGCTCCTGAACCTCTTGTCATGGATAACTTGGACTCAATTATGGAGCAGCTAAATACTTGGAATTTTCCAATTTTTGATTTGGTGGAAAAAATAGGAAGGAAATGTGGCCGTATTCTTAGTCAGGTAAGAAATGTATTCATACATCTGACTTTTTTTCTTAAGATTTTATTTATTCATTTGAGACACAGATGCAGACAAAGAGAGAGAGAGCATGAGCAGGGAGAGAGGGAGAGGGAGAAGCAGGCTCCCCACTGAGCCGGGAGCCCGATGTGGGGCTCGATCCCAGGACCCTGGGATCATGATCTGAGCCGAAGGCAGACGCTTAACCATCTGAGCCACCCAGGTGCCCCATACATATGACTTTAAATGTAGGAAAAAAAATTCCTTGGTTGGTTGAAGCTGTGTCCATGCTTGACACTGGTGGTAGGCACTGGGTGGAGAAAGGAAATGTTAGTACCCAACATTCTGTAGATTCCATGGTGGTGGGTTAACAAAAGAAATTGGAACTTGAAGTGAGTGGAATACTGATCAATTGAAATATGTAGATTTAAAGATAAAGTGGAACAGAACAGGGATACACAAGCAAGATGGAGAAATACATCTGAAATTTATAGAATTCAGCAAAAGAAAAGCTGATACAAGCCCTCAAAAGAAGAAAGTTGCCTAATTATTAACAGTAATTTATTGTTTGTAATTTTTTCCAATGACTATTTTTTTAAAGCTTTTTTTGGTGGGGGGGGCTAGTGGGAGAGGCAGAGAGAGAATTTTAGGCAGGCTACACGACCAGCTCAGAGCCTAGCTTGGAGCTCTATCTCATGACCCTGAGATCATGACCTGAGCCAAAATCAAGAGTCAGACACTTAACCAGCTGAGCCACCCAGGTCCCTTTCAAACTTTTGAATATTATGGTGCTTAGGTCTTATCAAAAGTAAGATATTGTGCAGAAATACATGTCCTTCCATTGCTGTGAGAAACATATCAAATAGAGTTCTCTGTGTTTTAATGCAGAAAATACCTTTATGTATCACAAGAAATACAGAATATGAACTATTGCTACTTAATAAGACTTTTTTATTTTTTTTCCTTAAGCTAGACTACTTTCAAGGCTTCCCACACTTAAAAGAAAATGTTTCCCTGAGGGAGAAAGAAAGCACAGAAATTAAGATTTTTGAACATATTGTTCTCAATACAAAATTGCTCTACAAATCCAAAAATGGATTTGCTCTATTATCAAACCCCTATCAGAATACACACTCAAGGGGGATAATGCAGTAATATTTATCAGCTTATTTAAAAATGTTTCAGGGGTGTTTTCATAGATGGAATAGCACCGTAGAGATGCTAAAGACGACCAAGCTAACATAAGACTTAGGTAAGAAATCAAGACCCAGATTTATTGGAGCCACTAACACTTATCTGGAAAACACTAGAAGAGGAATGATATGTTATACTGATTTCTACTCTGTGCATCAGCGACAGGCTTTCTTCAGATGTCTCAACAAGTATCTGAGTGTGGGGCTTCAAGGTGAGGATTCCTGATCCATGAAGGTTTGAAGGAAGAAGATAGAGGCGACTTTTCCTCTGTTTCTCAGTTGTACAAAAAGTACTAGTCTAGTCTTCAAGAAGAAAAGAATGACCCTCTGCCTTAAAGGGGCTAGTAGGGAAATTAGATATGGCTCAAAATAATGACAGTTCAACTTGCTACCTACAAAAGAAATTTGCTAAAATGATTGATGGATTATGAAACTCAAAATAATTACAAAGTCTGTGTAACATGTAGTTGCCTCTGCTAGACTCTCTTCTGACCATGAACACCTCGAGGACTGGGATGACAGCACTTGCACTTTTACTAGGAGTTAACGATCCCATTTTTCCTCTTTTTCCTTCTCCTTGGTGCTAAGCAACATCTTTTATGCTAGGTGATCTTATTAAATATTTTTTAAAGACTTATTTATTTATTTTATAGAGGGTGAGTGAGCATGGGGTGGGGCAGGGGCAGAGGGAGCGGGAGAGAGAAACTCAAGCAGAGTCTATGCTGAGCACAGAGCTGGATGTGGGGCTCGATCTCTCGACCTTGAGATTAGAACCTGAGCCACCACCAAGAGTTGGACACTTCAACCGACTGTGCCACCCAGGGCCCCTGGGTGATCTTGAAGACAGGTGTAAGGACAGCCATTTTTATCCAGTCCACTTTAGCCTCACACCTCAGGGCTCCTCCTGCGAGGTTTTGTATCTCACTTTCTGAAACCCCTTACAGACTATGTCTCTGAGGGAGTGATTTTACCTGGAAATATTCCTGTAATGGTACCCCAAAACGTGGTGGCAGAGGGCCGGGAAGCCTTCTTTCTTCTTCACTGCAGAGTGTGGTTCATAGGAAGAGAAAAATTTTACATTGTTTTATTTTCTTATTTTTATTTATTTATTTATTTTTAAAGATTTTATTTATTTATTTGACAGACAGAGAGAGAGTGTACAAGCAGGGGGAGTGGGAGAGGGAGAAGCAGGCTTCCCGCCGAGCAGGGAGTCCGATGCGGAGCTTGATCCCAGGACCCTGGGATCATGACCTGAGCCGAAGACAGACGCTTAACAACTGAGCCACTCGAGTCCGATGCGGGGCTTGATCCCAGGACCCTGGGATCATGACCTGAGCCGAAGACAGACGCTTAACAACTGAGCCACTCAGGCGCCCCAATTTTACATTGTTTTATATCTGATCGTATGTCACAGACTCCCCCAAAGCCTACAACTTGATCTTCTCGGTAACTTTGTTGCAGATAGTCTGTTTAATCTCTGCTTTTCAGAAGAGGAAACTGAGGCTTAAAAGAGTATATACCATTCATCTAAAGTCATAGAGTAAATATCAGACCCATGATTTGGATGCAGATATAGCCATATTGGAAATCCATACTTTTAGCCTTCATTTACCTTCAGCTGTTTCTGAGCGCACCCCCCCCGCCAAAATAACAAATTCACTGATTCTGTCTTCAAACACTCTGAACAGAGAGCTTGAACCCAAGGAAAAGTAGTTACTGTAAGCAGTTTTATTTTGTTTTGTTTTAAGATTTTTATTTATTTATTGAGAGAGAGAGAATGATAGAGAGCATGAGAGGGAGGAGGGTCAGAGGAAGAGGCAGACTCCCTGCTGAGCAGGGAGCCCAATGCGGGACTCGATCCTGGGACTCCAGGATCATGACCTGAGCCGAAGGCAGTCACTTAACCAACTGAGGCACCCAGGTGCCCAAGCAGTCAGTTTTTTAGCTGACAGTGACTGTGTAGCAAATACCATTCCTCCCTACCCGTCTCCTCTGGAAGTTCTGAGAGCTGGGGCTGGGCTTGTGAAACTTGACCAGCTGTGCCACAGAATGTTTTCTAAGAGTCCTGGATATGAGCGCACAACAGAAAGATTAGATGTAATGAACAATTAAAGTGCAGTAAAATTCACTAATGTGTTTTTCTTCCAGTCACCTTCCAAAAAAGAAATACATGAGCCTTAGTATGTCACTATTTATCTTTCCAACTTACAAAACATTGAACTTTGAGAAAATGAACTTTTATTTGTCTTGCTGAGTAGAACTTTATGGGTTTTCTCTTTGATTTGAGTTTATAAGCACAAAGTCATGATATTTTCACTGTGTGAAAGGCATATTTTTTTTCACCTTAGTAAGACTTTGGGACAGCTGAAATGAATTAACTTGAACATTCCAAGAAATCACCTTTTGGCTGAAACTACACAGAAAAAGTCTCGCTTCAAAAGATTTTTAAAGAGACATATGTGCAATGGAAATGACTTTTCAGTCTCAATATACTGACTGCCTTTTTGATGATTATCATGTTTATTTTAACAAATTTCAAAGGACATGGTTCAGATTTCAGAATAGTGCTTACTCTTTCCGGTTGCCAATATTTACCTGGTTAATGGTATCTTTATTTGTGAGTTTAAATTATTGGTGGTTGATTTTTAACAGCATGTTGATGAAAATTCTCCTATTTTAAAATCATACTTGAAAATATTCTGTTGTCTTAATTTTTCCATTCATCTTTCATATGTTTAAGAGAATAGTAGGAAACTTTAGTTATTTGCAATCCTAACAACATTGCTTTTCAGATGTTAGTGGTAGGATTTGAAGCAATTTAGGGTACAAAATCTGAAGCCAAAAAGCTTGGCTTGAATTCTGGTTCTGATAATGTTGTCAGCGTGTGATCTTGGACAAGTCACTGAAGTAACAAGCATAATTAAATCCATTAGGTATTTATAAACAAGAATTCAAATATAGACCAAAGCAGTAATAAAGAGGAGATACCCCCCAAAAAAACCCAAAACCAAAAAAAAAGAAAAAACTAGCTTGAAATATTACAGAAACCATAAACTTCACTTTCCGTTGCCTTTTTTTTTTTTTTTTGAGAGAGTGAGCGGGGAAGGGGGAGGTGGGGGGGGAGTTGTGGAGGAGGGAGAGAGGGAGAGGGAGAGAGAGAATTGTAAGCAGCCTCCATGCCCGGCATGACCCCAATGTTCGGCTTGGTCTCACAACCCAGAGATCATTACCTGGCCAAAATCAAGAGTCAGATGCTTAACCAACTGCCCCAGGCACCCCTGTTGCATTTTTAAAGAGAAGATGTGGGAATGGTATGTTACACACAAAAAGAAAAGCATACGGTAGTTGATGTACATAGTATATAATCTGTTTCCAACCTAGCAGCTTTGGTGATCCTTTTAAAACATAAATCAAATAGGGGCGTCTGGGTGGCGCAGTAGGTTAAGCATCTGACTTTGGCTCAGGTCATGATCCTGAGATCCAGCGATGGAGCCCCGTGTTGGGCTCCATGCTCTGCAGGGCGTCTGCTTCTCCCTCTTCCTCTGCCCCTCTCCCCACTCAGGCTCCCTTTCTCTTTCTCTCTCTTTCAAATAAATAAATAAAATCTTTAAAAAAAAAAATGTAAGTCAGATAAAGTCACTTCCCTGCTCCAATCTCTTCAGTGGCTCCCTACCTCACTTAGAGTAAAAGTCTTACAATGATCAGTCTGGCTGTCAAACCCCAAGATTTCACCCCCCCCCCATCCCACTCTGCCATTACTAACTTAAATTCTACTGTCCTCATTCATTCTGTTTTAGCCACGCTGGCCTTCTTGCTGTTTCTTGAGTATAGCAGGCATACCTCAGGGCCTTTGCACAGTCCTTTTTCTCTGTATGGAAAACTCTTTTCTCAGATATCCATGTACCTCAGTCTACATCTCCTTCAGTTCTTTTTTCATATGTCACCTGGATATGTCTACTCTAACCACCATACTTAAAAAAAAAGCAAATTCTATAACTTCCCTATATTAACAATCTCTCACCCTTGTTTCCTTTTTTCTTTTTCTATATTACTTACTACTTTCTCTCATAGCATATACCTTACTTATTGTATCTGTTATTTACTGCCCTCCCCTGCCAGACTATAAGCTCCCTGAAGGAAGAGATCTTTGTTTTATTCCCCTGGATATATGCCTCATACACAGAAGGGTGTCTGGAACATGGTGGGCACTCAATAGATGTATGCTGAATGAATAACTCTCCTTTTTAGTTCTGTCAGCCTTAATAGGTAAACTGAGACAAGCTCAAAATTGTCAAAAAGATGAGTTTATTCAGGAATAGCAGGGGAACTGTAATTTAGGATGTGCAAACTATAGCAAGCTACAGTGAGTCTTTTGAGGGTTTGGGGTAGGCTGTATTTACGGGCAGGGAATGTAAAGAGGGGATAGTTCAGTTAGAGTCCATTAAAATCAGAAGCAGGGGCTCCTGGGTGGCTCAGTTGGTTAAGCGACTGCCTTCGGCTCGGGTCATGATCCCGGAGTCCTGGGATCGAGTCCCACATCGGGCTCCCTGCTCAGCGGGGAGTCTGCTTCTCCCTCTGACCCTCTTCCCTCTCGTGCTTTCTATGTCTCATTCTCTCTCTCTCTCAAATAAATAAATAAAATCTTTAAAAAAATAAAAATGAAAAATAAAATTAGAAGCAAATGGAGACCAGGTTTGAAATTCTCCAAGCAGACAAAACTAGTGCAGTCATACAAACAAAGCTCAAGTCAACTTATTTTGGGAGACCAGCCCAATCTGGATCGTTCCGTGTTCATGCTTCTGGAAACCATAAGTACAACTTCCCAAGGTTGATATGAGGCAACCCCTGATCAACTCCCTATCATTTAAGAAAATTCCAATGTTATCACTTTTCGAAAAAGTCAGTCATTTACGGGAAATTGGTCTCTTTGTCCTTGAGCTTTGTTTCTCCGAGGACACGTGTGAGATTTTTTTGTTTTATATCCTTCGGTTTCATTTTAGATTGAAATTCCATTATACTTCTCTCTCTATATGTGTATATGCCTATGTATACATATAGATATATATGATAAACATTAAGTACATAATTAAAAGAATATTATTGAATTTAAACAGATTTAAAGTCAACAACAAAAGGTAGAAACTTAGCTATGAAACAGCATACCAAAGATGGAGAGGGAAGATTTCAAGACAACTTTAAGAAGAGATGCAGATAATAAAAATGATGAATAATTCTTAAAGTCTCCTGAGTTATAACAACACTGTGCCTTTGTGACATGAAGTAAGGCCACTTGAAATGGTGCCACACTCCCTTCTGCCATGTGAATAACCATTCCTCTCCCCAGTACCTTCTTCTGTGCCTTTATCAGTTTTTTTCTCCATTATTTGCATGTCAGATATGCCGATTACATGCATAGGTATTCACTGGATTTGGGTCACCAGAGCTGTGAATGCAATTGGAAGGAGAATAGATATTTGGAGGAGAAAGACGAGCAAGGAAAAAAATTTAGATGTTATTTATACTGCATTAGAATAAATCGGTTTTCTCTATATAGTCAAAGTAACCGTTTTTCTCTCTCTCATAATTCTTTCCCCTTATCCTTCACTAAGTTAACAATTCTGAATCCTTTATCCTCTGGGGAGCTTTTTTTTTTTTTAAATAAAAATTAGTCCAAATTAAAGCTTTACCTCATTTATTAGTGCTTATAATATACACTATACAATGAACCTTTTGATAAGTAGGATTCTCTGGTAGATGATAGCACATACAATTGAGTACCTTGATATGTTCCTGTTGTTTGGGTTGGTTGGTTTTCTTGGTTGAATGTCCATGCTTTTAAAAACAGATCAAATACCCCTTGTGGTCAGGGGCTACAGGGACTAGACACATAGAGTTCTTCAATACTTACTTGACTTATTGTTCCCAATAAGTGTCTCTACTGGCCAGGAATTACTTGTTTTAATTTTTTTTTTCTTTTTGTGTCTAATACACACCCAGGGATGTTTTGTAAAACTTTGTCTTTCTCTTTATAGGTATCATACAGACTTTTTGAAGACATGGGCCTCTTTGAAGCTTTCAAAATTCCAGTTAGGGAGTTTATGAATTATTTTCATGCTTTGGAGATTGGATACAGGGAAATTCCTTGTAAGTATAAGTTAAAAATAATACTTTTCAAATCCACTGAATTTGCTCTGGGTAATGGGATATTGAATCATTAGTGGCTAGCAGAGAACTACACATGGTAAACCTGGAGATAACAGCCTGTTTCAGAATCCTGGTCCCTTCACTTCTCAGCTGTCACCTCTGCATGCCTCATTTCTTAATCTGTAAAATGGGGATCATAATGTCTTTGAGGATTGTAATATAGGATTGTTATGAAGATAAAATGAGGTAATAAATCTAAAAGGGTTATAATAGTGCCTTCTCATAGTAAGCCAGTTTAAGTGTGTGCTCCATAAATAATTAAATGTTAAATTTACTGCTTATTTTATAATACACTCCTTTTATTGGGTGAGTTCAACTTTTGTTCTCGCATCTGGAGAGTTAAATCATGAACTCTTGAAGTTTTTTCAATATAAGGAAGACCTCGCTGGGGGTGGAGGGACAGGAGGGTGATGGTCTAATTAATGAAATAGAAAAAAAAGACACCTAAAAGTTTGTGAAGAAATTATTAGAAACATTTGAAAAATCAGATAAATGTGAAGACCAAAGGAAGGGACACAACCAAGTGTTCAAATTTATGAACTTAAAATATTGTGAAAGTAATTTTGTCATTCATAATAATGCAAAATTGGAACAGAGAGGCGATGTTAAATTTTCAATATGGAGCATTTCCAGTATCATCTGAACATGTGAGTAGAATCATCCTACGTGCTGCAAAATACATGGAACTGAAGAAAATGTCCAAAACCCCGGTCAGGGAAGTTGTGAAAATGTGCAGAAATCATGTGGTACTTTTAGAAAATAAATGCATAGCAAGAGTAGACATACATTGGTTGAAGCATGCCTTAGAAATGCGTCATTCAAATCATGTTTTAACTTTTAAGTTTTAAAATTGCTTTTGTACTCCTTAAGACTTCAGAACCCCATGACTTTTCCTAGTTGCAAACAACTGAAGCTAAATAAATATTCTACGGAGACAGATAAAGTACAGGTATTTCCAGAAAGGGATAGTACATTAAACTAATGATCCATTATTAACATATTGTTTTTCAAAATGCCAACCACATGCTACATTGGAATGAAAATACACAGCTGATGGTGTGTGATAGGAGAAGATAATGAAGAATTGGATCTACAAATGAGATTTGTTGGAGAATATGGGACCAAAATGCAGACAAGACAAAACAGTGGGTGTAGAGGAGAGAGGAGCTTAAGAGCACTGGGCCCCTTGGGAAAGTCTGGCCGGTAGGGCCATGGAAATAGAGAGAGAGACAAAAAAGGGATAGTTGGAAAGAATCTCAAGATAAGCCTTGCTTTCTTAATACCATTTTCCCAGGGCACACCCTGGTTGGATGCCAATGATTGACATAAGTGTTAACTGATTTTTCAACAGCTTGTCATCAGATTAATTTACAAATTGTTATATTTCCAAATGTATTTTAGTGACCTAATCCGCTACAGCCAAGTCCATTAAGTACCAGTTGATATAACTACTAACTTTTCTCTAAGCAGTAGGTCATAAAATCATAGGGAAAGTTGATCAATATTTAAGCATAAGAAGAAGTTTCCAGATTCTAAATTTTATTTTTTTTAATAATTTTTATTGTTATGTTAATCACCATACATTACATCATTAGTTTTTGATGTAGTGTTCCATGATTCATTGTGCATAACACCCAGTGCTCCATGCAGTACGGCCCTCTTTAATACCCATCACCAGGCTAACCCATCCCCCCACCCCCACCCCTCTAGAACCCTCCCAGATTCTAAATTTTATTATTCATTTTTATATTTTCTTATTTTACAACTGAATAGATGTTTCTTTTTTCTGAAATAGTGGCTTCTTCATTCCATGTGAAAAGAATTCGTTATAATAAACCTGGTTGTTCTATTAGGAACCCCAGACATTTTCCGTAAAGGGAATTCGTTTACATCTTCTCACAGAGAAGTTTTAGCTTGACTGGTGATCCCTTTTAAATAGTAATTCCTTGCATGTGGTAGTGTTGTAAATTTAGACTAATATAGATGTTTATTAAAAGCTTTGCTTATCATTAATTTTAATTATCATACACAAAAATTTGTTATACGTCTCCTTACTTTAATATCTACTCCTAGAGGATTGTATTTCTAATAGCTCTATCTAAATAAACCCATACCTAAATGAAAAAGCCCAAGAGTAACTAAAATGAGATTAGATTAATGTTACTATGACAATGACCTACAATACTAGAAACTAAATTTTATTATACTTCTAAGCACACTTTTAACAATTTTTAAGAGGTGAAGACTTTTAAATTTGTACCCAGAGCCCCTACTAAAATTTGAGAAATCTAGATTTAAAAATAGACACAGGTAGGTAGGTAGATATTTCATGGAGTAGCAGTGGACGAGATATAAGTATAGGAAACTCACTGATAGAAATATGATACCGAATATATATTTGTTCAATAAAGATGATGATAAATTAAGATATAGTTGATAATTGCACAAAGAAATAAATAATGTTCATTATTGTTCCCAGTCCCTTTCAGTTGGGCATATTGGCAAGTAAAGAAGATAAATCATCAGGTCCTATTCATTCATGAATTCAAAGTTAGTTTTGAGGGTGCTTTTTCTGTTTTCAGAGACTTTCATCTCTAAAATATATTCTTCCTAACACCTCCTCTCATTCTTGTTATTGAGGTTGGAGAAATGGGTAGAATGGCAGCAATGAGAATAATCTTGCTCAATCTGTATGTCATGGGCCCACCAGTTTTAAAGCTACATACTGAGGTGGCATGGGACAAGCTAGAAAGGCAGACCTATGACAGTATTTGCTATAATCCAAAGGGAAAAAATGTTTAAATTGTCACTTCTCTTCTTTAACACTTTCACAAAGGAGCATAGGTGGAATTTTCAACTGAAAATCTATAGGTCTAAAAATCTACGCATTTTACCTATCACTCCAACCCTCCGTGCCAGCTCACTTCAACTTGGTGCTTAAGGGATAAGGAGAAAGTTGAGAAAACAAATGTGTCAAGACAGAAGAGGGAGCTGGGCAGACTATGGGAATGAGATAGGGCATGTTGTGTTTGGTGTGTGCGTACGTGTTTCCGTGTTGTCAGGGAGGCAGAGGGGCTTGCTGGGATGGGCAAGGGAACTATCAAGAGAGTCGGGGGTTTGTCCAAAATGCAGGGATGGAGGAAGAGGGATGATAATAATAAGAAGAGCTCTGATACCATTCCTTCTCCCTCTCGGTTGCCTACCATGGCTGTAAGAAGAGGAATTTTTAAGCACGTTTATGTGTCCTACAGAAACCTACAGAATCCCCTTTGTTGATCTAGCGAGCTTATTTCCTGGGTGCCTTTGCTCCTGAGTGGGTCTCCAGAAAGTTAATGGTGAGAACAACCGCAGTGCCAGCACTTGGTACAATGCTTGCACATAGTACGTGCTAAGTAAATATTTGTTTAATAAACATGTTATTGACTGCTTATTAGGCGGATGATTTTCCATCCTGCTTAAATGACAGTGACAGTGGTTTTTTTTTTTCTGGATCTACACATGCTGGAGATTTTTTTTTTAAGGAATTAGGTTTGATTAGCTATTATTTAAGTATTTTTGAACCTATACTCAAAAGCAAAAGGGCTACTTTTTTTTTTCCATATACCGTCTTTTCCTAATTTTTTAATCAAGATTATACTAGCCTCATAAAATGAGTTGGGTAGCTTCCCTCCTTTTTATATTTTCAGGACTAGATTATTTAAATAAGATTATTTGTTTATTGAGAGCTTACAAAAATTACCTATAAAGCCTTCAGGCCCTTGGCCTTGGGGTGGGGAATAGGACAAAGAGCAGTAAGCTCCAGAGCTGCAAGTTTGTTTGTCCTTGATGTTGTCTGTCACTCCACACAGGCTCCACCAGCACCCTGATACTGCCCCAACCACGCTTGCAATGCTGGGCACATGCACAGGGTTCTGTGACTTGCAAGAGTAATGATAATTACTTGCTCACAGTAATTTTCCCAGCTTGCGGCGAAGGAGAAGAAAAGACCTCAACTCAGAAGCTCTCTCCCAACCTATCCCCTAACAGTGGCAGTGGGGCATTTTCTTCTCTACCAGGTCATCACTGCCTTCTCCCTCCCCCAAGGGTTTAGCATATCTTTTATTTTAGCTCTTCAATTCTTAACAAATCCAGCATTGATTTTGGAAGAAAACTAGTGATCTGTGCTAACTCACCATCTTGTTCCAACAGCAATCATGTATTTTTTTTTAAGATTTTATTTATTTATTAGAGAGAGAGAGCCACTCACAGCATGAAAGGGAGGGAGGGGCAGAGGGAGAGGGAGAAGCAGGCTCCCCGCTGTGGAGCTGGATCCCAGGACCCCAGGATCATGACCAGAGCCGAAAGGCAGATGCTTAACCAACCGAGCCACCCAGGCGCCCCAGCAATCATGCATTTTATGTGAGTTATATTTACATTAATTGCAAGCTTACTATGTGTCAGGAACTTAAAAATATCTTTTCTTCTGTAATTCTCCCAATTGTACTGTGAAATAAGTCACTATTATTTAATATGTCTATATTTTTAAGATTAGGAGATGAAATGTAGAGTTGTGAGCAACCCACTCAAGCTCACACAGGTAATAAATATCAGAACAGAGAGAAATTTAGATCTCTCCTAAATCCAGACACTTTTAGCATGACCAGTTTTGTACATGGCACAGTATAGATCTAAAATGTTTGGTCTTAGATGACTTGAGATAGTCTATACACAGAGATATAGACTCCAATTTCAATGAAATTGTTCTTTGGATGACTAGATAATATCAGTATTCCCCTCCGGCAATGACACAGGGCACAGGGTTTGCTCTTTCCTCCTTTGAAGTCTTGGATGTCTGTTCTAAACACATCCTCTCAAGTCCTTACAAGGCCCCTCTACTGAAATGCTGGGTGTTTACATAAGATTTAGCTACACGTCATCGCTTAAAGACTGACTCTTAAGAGTTGCCAGAAATGTAGGGAAATAGGCACCATGTACCCACATTCCCCCTGTGTGCCACCAACACCAAAAATGTTAGTTTTTTCTGGGGCATCTGGGTGGCTCAGTTGGCTAAGTGTCTGCCTTCTGCTCAGGCCATGATCCTGGGGTCCTGGGATCCAGTCCCACGTCGGGGAGCCTGCTTCTCCCTCTCCCTCTGTCCCTCCCCTAACTCAGGCTCCTGTGAGTGCTGTCTCTCTCTCTCTCTCTCTCTCAAATAAATAAATAAAATCTTTAAAAGAAAAAAAAATGTTATCTTTTTCTTTCTTCCCTGACCAGGGACCAGATATTTTCTCCTGTTCCCATTACCATTCTTACTGTTCTTTTCTGTTTTCTCTTTATCTGTTGAGTATTATTCAGAGACATGATCTACTATATTGGAAGAGACTGTATTATGGTTGGTCATTGGAAATAGAATATGTAAAGTTAGCATACTTAGGATAGTGTATAGCAATCAATGAAAGGGCCAGTAAACAAGAGAAAAACTTGGAAGAATTGCACCAGAAAAAAAGGTGAGCCAGGAACACATCAGGCCTTTGGTCATGGTTCAGCAGAAGCTGAACTGCACATATAGAATAGACCCCCTTCCCATGATAATGACATTGTAGCTAGAGGATTTGGTTTTCCCATAGATTTTGCTCTTCTAAATGACTCAGATCCCTACATTAATGTTCAAGGAAGTTTTTATTTTTCTCTTCGTATTTCCTAGAACTGTATTCCCAAATTATAATTTTTAGATCAGAGAACATCATTAATTGTGGTTTTCAATTTTGCTTTGTGAATTTAACCTACATATAGAAGATATATTATTAATTTTTACCAGTGTTTTAAGTTTGATGTAAAAGAATACTACTTTGTTTTATTCACAGATTATATTTGCATGCTATTTATTAGAGATGAAATATTAGGTGGTATAGATCATTGGTCTGACCTAGTTGAAGTATGTCATGGGTCTTTTATTCTGGTCCTCTGCATAATCTTATACAGGAGCATGGAAATAAGTATAAGGGTAAACATCACAGTGATTGCACATAGTGAGCTTTCTATAGATGTTAGGTTTCTGGTAGACTCTGGACACAGATTTGTCTACTTCAGACATCTATCTGCATGCATAATGAATGTTGTGTGTGTGTGTGTTTTTTTTTTTTTTTCTTGTTACTATGGATATTATGGAGTCATGGAAGAGTAATCAAAGAGTATTTGTCCTAGAATATTTGGCTGCCTTTCACTGGGGTATTAAAATGTGAAGACTAAACTGTTTATCCAGTAGATGGCGCTCTTAGTCCTTGGACCCCAAAGTTCACAAATGAATGTTCCTTTGCATTGGTTACAGATCATAACAGAATCCATGCCACTGATGTGTTACATGCTGTGTGGTACCTTACTACGCAACCGATTCCGGGCCACTCAACTGTGATTAATGATCACGGATCAGCAAGTGATTCAGGTACGTATTAAGTGCATTTTTGCTCCCTTGTTAACTATGGGGAAAGGGGGGGAAGCATTTCTTTAAAAAAGGAAGTCAAGAAAATAGTATCAGTTTAATACTTTTTAAAAATTTCTATTATGTTCATTTTCCCTTCTCAGATTCTGACAGTGGATTTACCCATGGACATATGGGATATGTCTTCTCAAAAATGTATAATATGCCTGATGATAAATACGGATGTCTATCTGGAAATATCCCTGCCTTAGAGTTAATGGCATTGTATGTGGCTGCAGCCATGCATGATTATGATCACCCAGGAAGGACTAACGCTTTCCTGGTGGCAACTAGTGCTCCTCAGGTAAATCTTTCAATTTTGATTCGAAGAAATAATTCGATTTAGAGATTTTTCCAAAAGAAATTAATTTTATAAATTTTGATTTATCATAGGGACCAAATGAATATGAGCCAAACTGTATTTAGCCCTAGGATATTTGTAGAGTTGGTCCAAGCTAATTTTGAGAAGATACCATGTTTGTTCCAAGATATTAATGGCAGGCATGCAACTTTATTACCCTTGGGAAACCCTTCTCAGTTTTCTTCTTAAGAAGAAAAACTAGTTGAATCTGTATTAATGAACCTTCTCAACAAAGAAAATCCAACCTATACAAAAGTCCCTTTATGAAAAGATTAGAGAACCAGATCTTTCTTGGACTTTTAATTATGTAAGTCTTCTTTGTACATAAAACCCATTCCTTTGAAATACATTTATTATAACAACCGTTATTCCTGTGACATTTCTATTGATTAGTAGGATTTAAACATCCATTTATTTCATTCATTTGAGGGAATTTTTTTTTACCTGAACATAGTATTCCAAAAACAATAACTTTAAGGAAGTCCATTTTCTTATATACTTAAATTTAGGTCAAAAATTAATCACTGAGTATCTTAGTATCTCCATCTATGTAATTAAACTCAGTAAGTTTCTCTTTGATTTAATTAGCGGGAGCTAATGAGTCATTGAACACTACATCAAAAACTAATGATGTACTATATGCTGGCTAATTGAACATAATAAAAAAATAAGCAAACAAAAACCAAAAAATAATTAGCTGGATCTATGTTACTAAGTATTCTGAGATCCTGTTTTTTCTTTCTAGAGGATCTAGAAGCCAATCTGCTCTCATACTTATTTTGTTTGTTTGCTTTTTGTCTTTTACCCAACTCCCATCCATTTCCACTTGTCTTAAAGACTAGACTAGAATTTTCCTCTAATCTATATACGATAAATATATCCTGATATTTTTTCCCTCACTACTTAAACTTATTTCAGCATGTCCTTCATACACCAGAATTATTTTTCCTAAAGATGGGCAAATCTTTTTGCCAGCACCATTTATCATTCATATTTTCTGAGACATGTATGCATTTTTACTTAGTATAATTTAAATTTTCATGTACTTTGTCTTTCCTTTTTGTCCTTATGCCTTTTTCTTTTCCTGTAATGTCTATCACTCTAGTCTTAAAGCAAGGTTTAGGTAACTTCCTCTTCTTTTGTAGTGTCCCTCAGCATTATTAGAGAATTCCAAGAGAGTAGATATTTATTATACACCTTTAGTTACTAGTTGGAGGGTGATATCTTCTATGGTTGCTTGTGGGATGAGAATGTTTTAAATTATAAACCTCTCAGGGAGTCCATTCCTATTTATTAGTTATATGTGCTTAAGAAAAGGTAATCTTTGAGATGCCTGGGTGGCTCAGTTGGTTAAGCATCTGCCTTTGGCTCAGGTTATGATCCCAGGGTCCTGGGATTGAGTCCCGTGTCGGGCTCCCAGCTTCACGGGGAGCCTGCTTCTCCCTCTCCCACTCCCCCTGCTTGTGTTCCCTTTCTCGCTGTGTCTGTCTCTGTCAAATAAATAAAGTCTTAAAAAAAAAAGAAAAGGTAATTCCTATTCTAAATGCAGAAAGTAACTGACTTACTCTTAGGAATTTTAGTATATTTGGATTGTTTTTTAAGATTTTATTTATTTGAGAGACGGAGTGAGAGAGAGCACAAGCAGGGAGGGAGGGAGAGGGAGAAACAGGGAGCCCGACGTGGGGCTCGATCCCAGGACCCTGAGATCATGACCTGAGCTGAAGGCAGAGGCTCAACTGACTGAGCCACCCAGGTGCCCCTATTTGGATTTTTTTAATAGTTAAATTCCTATGCAAAGAAATCTGATAAAAGCTAACTCTAATCCCCTCATTTGCAAGAGTTTAGAATAAAGTTTCAAGGAAATGAACTTCATCTTAGAAAAAAAGGAAACGTCAACCAAGGAAAGTAATCAATAGTCAATGTAATTACAATATGGAATTCTTAATAACCAGCAGTCACGAGATTACATTTCTGTGTTCCATGAAAAAAGAGGATCCTGAAGGTTCTGCCTATTCTTGTGTACTTTTTATGATTTTTTTTTTTTAATTTAAAAGTTGAATCTTTCAGTCTTTGCCTAATTTGCCTAGGCGGTGCTCTATAACGATCGTTCAGTTTTGGAGAATCATCACGCAGCTGCTGCATGGAATCTTTTCATGTCCCGGCCAGAGTACAACTTCTTAGTTAACCTTGACCATGTGGAATTTAAGCATTTTCGTTTCCTTGTCATTGAAGCAATTTTGGCCACTGACCTGAAGAAACACTTTGATTTCGTAGCCAAATTTAATGCCAAGGTAACTAGATTTGTACTAGTCTTCATTTTATGACCATATTGAAAGATGTCATGGAATCAAAGTGTGGAACAAAACTTACTGTTCTCACCTCTAATACGTCAACTGTGAAAATGAAATGCAATAAAATGTTTAACCAGAAGCAGATATATGGCATTGGTCCCAGTCTAGAAATCTGAGAAGTTGAGGTGCTGTCTACCTATATATTATTCTTTGTGCTGCAAAGAAATAAAATTCTCACTGTCATTGGGTTTTTTTGTTTGATTTAATTTGCTCTCATCTCTGTGGTATACTAACATAAATTGTCTGGAAGGTGAAAAGGTCAAAACCCTGAAACAAAATTTCATACATCCAACATAAATACCCAAATGTTAACTTAAGAAAATTTCTTATCATTTGTAGTTATATTTATTTACTGGTCATTGGTAATATATGCTAATTTTAAATAGCATTTATTTTCAGTTCCATAATTAATAATTATCACTTAAAATTTTTATTTTTCTGATGAACTATTTTACTATTATGCAAGCCAGTAGCATTTTAAATAATTAAGAAGTTCCTCATTTCTTGGTATTCTTTCTCTACATGTTGAGAAGATAATAAATATTTTGTTGTTTGGTCTGTCCAACTTTTGCTTTCATTGAAGCAAACCACACTTTACCTTTACCCCTCAAACAGGTGAATGATGATGTTGGAATAGATTGGACCAATGAAAATGATCGCCTACTGGTTTGCCAAATGTGTATAAAGTTGGCTGATATCAATGGGCCAGCTAAGTGTAAAGAGCTCCATCTTCAGTGGACAGAGGGTATTGTCAATGAATTTTATGAACAGGTAACTAAACTGTTTATCTTAATTCATACTTGGGCTGCTCATAAATTCACAAAAGCTTGCAAAAGCTATAAAAGTGTGATCAGTCTCTTTTATATTCAACTAACATCAGAAAACTAAAAACTAAAAACTCTAAGATAAAGTTATTTGCCAGTATTGCAGAGGATGGAGGTGGGGGCAGGCAGGAGAAGATGTTGAAATAATGAAATGACCTACTGAGACATTAGCAAGACCATTGACATATTGTGTCTTTTTTAAAAAATGAATTTATTATAATAGAAGCTCATTTACATTTATATGGATGAATGTACATCAGATTAAGTTCATTTACTTTTAATAGTAAATGGTTTTTGTTTGCTTATTTTTTTTATGTTCAATTAGCCAGCATATAGTACATCATTAGTTTTTGATGTAGTGTTCAATGTACATCAGATTAAGTTCATTTACTTTTAATTTTATAAAGCATATGAAAAAGCTTTATAAATATAAATTTTATTTGACATCATAATGTGGGAGTAAACACACTACCAAAAAAATCTACCACAAAAACATAAGCATAGGGTGATCTTCCCCACATTACCCTACAGTGGTCAGATTATATGTGAAACTTTGTTTTGAGTACTGTGAACTACTCTCTTAAGAGGATTCTGGAGATAGTGGAGCATGGTTAAAGGATAGGAATCAGTGGCATCAAAGGACATGATGAGGGTTGCTGGAGGGGTGGTGGGTGGGGGCATGGGGTAACTGGGTGATGGGCATTAAGAAGGGCACTTGATGTAATGAGCAGTGGGTGTTAGATGTAATGAGCAGTGGGTGTTATATGCAACTGATAAATTACTAAATTCTACCCCTGAAACTAATAATACAGTATATGTTAACTAAATTGAATTTAAATAAAAAATTTTAAAAAGTGAAGATGATTTCCCTGGGTGGGGTGGGAGGGAATGGAGTTGATATAGTAACTGTCTTCAGATAATAAAGACTGACATACAAATTTAGGATTAAGTGTATCATGTTGGGGAGATTAAAGAAAATAAATTATCACTTAACACGGGATCTGATTTATAAGAAACAGTAGATTTCTTCTGTAGAAGTCTATAGAAGTCTTTCAGTCTATAGAAGTTATAGGGAGATTGATTTCAAGACAATGTGAGAAAGAAATATGTATTATAAAGGCATCCAGAAATAAAATGAGGCACTTTTTTAAGTAATAAATAGCTATCACTGGACATACTTGAAGAAGGATTAGAAAGAACTTTTGTGGGTTTTATAGACAGGACTCATACATAGGATAAAAGGTTTGTACTTTCTAGGAAATAATGTATTGCCTTTTCTAGAAATGAGATTAATTCATAATCAATCTCCAAATATTGAAATACAGAAAAAATAGGGGCACCTATTTTTGACTCATTTGTCAACCAACCAACTCAGTGACTCACTTGGTTAAGCGGCTGCCTTCAGCTCAGGTCATGATCCCAGGGTCCTGGAATCCAGTCCATGTTGGGCTCCCTGCTCAGTGGCGAACCTACTTCTTCCTCTCCCCCTGCCCCTCCTCCCACTCGTTCTCTCTCTCTCTTTCTCTCAAATAAATAAAATCTTAAAAAAATTAAAAATTAAATAAATTTTAAAAAGGAAAATGATAACCCAGTTATAATAATTCTACTACATAGACATAACCATTGTTGATATTTCAGTATATTTCCTTCATTAATTTTGCTAGGTGACTACTGGTTTACAGTCTGTTATTTTTTTTTCCAGAAAGATTTGAAGTAGTTCAAAATAAAAGCACTTATACAGTAGTACTATTAAACATGTTGACAAATAAGAATATCAGAAATCATATAATCACAGAAGATATAATTTAACCAAAAGCTGGGATAAGGTAGAACCTTTAATTGAGCAATAAATTATTCTAAGCTCTACTGGCAGCCAAGGCAAAAGGAAGAAAACATGATAGATTATTTGTTTCATAATTATTCCCAGGATTGCATTTTGAAGTACATTTATATTCTAATAGAACAAGGACTGACATAATAAGAAATACTAGACCATTGGTCTAGTATTGGTCTAGTATCTAATAGACCAATGGTCTATTAGACCATTTCTTCTATTGCCCTTTGATCAAAGCCAAAAACTCAAGATCACCAAAGTGATAAATGGCAACAAAGCATTTTGACAGGGATCTTAGCAATTTAGGTAGAATCTTTTAGCAGTCAAGTAAAAGAGGGAGTTCACACATGAATATCTGGGTTCTTACATAATTGCAGATTTTAGGTGCCAAGTGAATGTTAACTTTACTAGTATTTTTAACTTTGCATGTCATTTATTTTTCTGGTCGACTCTTCATGCTAAATTCCTATTTCTAGGGTGATGAAGAGGCCAGCCTTGGGTTACCAATAAGCCCCTTCATGGACCGTTCTGCTCCTCAGTTGGCCAATCTTCAGGAATCCTTCATCTCTCACATTGTGGGTCCTCTGTGCAACTCCTATGATTCAGCAGGACTAATGCCAGGGAAATGGGTGGAAGGTAGTGATGAGTCAGGAGATACTGATGACCCAGAAGAAGAAGAGGAGGAGGAAGCACCAAATGAAGAGGAAACCTGTGAAAATAATGAATCTCCAAGTAAGTTTTATAAAACCTATTTCTAGTGTGTTTTTCCTAAGATTTTTTTTAACATAGGTCAGATAAATTTTATGCTTCTCATGAATTACATAGTTCATGTCCAGATATTTTCATCTGATTGTGTATAACCTCCCTTCCCTAATATCATAACCCTAGAAGTTAGAGATAATGGAATCTATTATAATACCACATTCATACAAAGATACAGCCCCTGTTATGAAGTAAAGAGAAATTAAGCAGCTAAAACCTGTTCTTCAGGGTATCTTAATGATTTAGAGATGAAAGGAATTTCAGATACCATATAGAGCAACCATAGACTTTCGTTGGTTTAGTAGTTGGAGGAAGGCCATGTGAAGTGGTAAGAGGTAGTTATCACTCATTCATGTAACAAATATTTATTAAGCATCTGCTTTGTGCCAGGCATTCTTCCAAGTACTGAAGATAGAGCCATGAACAAATCAGACAAAATATAAATAAATCCTTGCCTATTTGGACTTTTTTCCAGTAGATACTAAGCAAGACAAATCAGTAGGTCTCTAACATGTGAGGTGCTGATAAATGCTAGAGTTAAAAAAAAAAAGGAAGAAGGATATGAAATATTGCAGAGAAAGCTTAAAATTTTAGATAAGGTAGCCACAAATGGTCTAAAAAAAGATTAAAAAAAAAAAAGGACTAAAAGAAGTGGGGGAATGATCCATGGAAGTATAGATGGAAAAAGCGTGCCAAGGAGAGAGAAAAGCAAACCATATAAATGTCCAGAGGTGGGTGTTGGCTGGGTGTTCAAGAAGCATGGGGAGGGCTGGAGTGGCCGAGACAGAGGAAAAGGGGTGATGAAGCAGCAGGAGAGAGACGGTGGGGAGCCAGATGATATAGGGTTTGAAGGTGGGGCTCTGAATAAGGTGGGAAGCCATCAGTGATTTTGCGCAGAAGAGTTAGCTGATTGAGCTTATATTTTAAATAGGTTGCCTCAGCTGCTGTACTGAGAATACTCTTGAGTTTGGGGTAGAGCGAGGGTAATAAGTTAAGAGGCTGTTCAAATTATCCAAGTGAGAAAGGACTATGGCTTTGAACCAGACAGAGTAGTCACATTAAAGACGATGAAAAGTGTTTCCATTTGGTCATTGATTTGGAGCACATCATGTAGCCAAACTAATCCATTTGAATTTACCTGACTATAAAAAGAGATTATTTTTCTTCTCGTCTTGAAATATTCTCTGCTATTTCTCCTGTCACAGGGAGGAGACCCAAACAGTGTAATTAGTAAAACCCATAACCCTTACAGTGCTATTGCACAAATACTATTCTTGTGTTCATGAAAACATAGTGTGTGGTTTAATCTGCCTTCAGAAAGAAAGTACAGTCGTAATTGTTTTCAAAGCGCTTACCCGAAATATTACCAAAGAGAGACATTCTGATCATCTGTTCCTATTTTTTAGCACAGTCAGGAAAATTCATGACTCATTTCATCTCAGCCATCCAGTAAATACAGTCTAACGTGGGTATTTATCCATTTTGCCCTCATATAAGTACTCTGTTGTAAGCTTACAAAACAGAGATAGGGAGATCTTTATTAAGTATAAACTGGTGAGGGTTTTGCAAACTTGATTCTAGGTCAAATTTTTGCCTAAGTTCTGTCCTATATATTAAGTTGGGTACAGAATGAGGGGAAAGTCAAAAGTTTTCCTTCAATATTCTATTATCAAAATAACTATTTTATATCTCTGGTGCTTATAAAAAGGTTTCCATTAGCAATTTGGGGCTAATCCTGAGATTCAGAGATTAAATCTGGGATTCATGGCTTATTTTTTCACTTGTTCATTTAATAAATACGTATTAGTTTTCTTCTTTCTTTTCTTTTTTTTCTTTCTTTCTTTCTTTCTTTCTTTCTCTCTCTCTCTCTCTCTCTCTCTCTCTCTCTCTTTCATTTTCATTTCAAAGAGCCAGTAGTTTGCTGTCTAAGGACAGGACAGTTGTTGTTTCCACTGAGTGACATTGGAAAGTGTTGTAGGCTTAGCCTCTTGGAAAAGCTTTGTTCCCATGGGCCCTCACTGATTGCTATTTGAACTCAAACACATTGAAAAAACACACACAAAATACAGGCATCAAGAATCCAAGAACACAGGGCAGGAGATTTAACAGGCTCAACTTGTCAACGTTGGCTTTAGCAGCAAACGCAACAACCAGATATTCAATTACTTTTCATTCTGTAGGGTTAAGTTGCCATACTGACTTCCAGATTCAGATACGTTGCTCTCCAAACCTAGCTCTCCAAACTCCACTGCTGTAGAATCCTAGTAATTTTAATTTCATAATCATATTGACTGAGATGGTTAACTTGATTTAGCCTCAAACTTAGATTTCAGAAAAAATTTAGATTAAACATGCACTGATAATTTCAGCAATTTGTGAAACTTGGAGATCTCCCAGGAAACACAGAATTAAATGTTTCAATATGGTATCCTACGGAAAGAAGGCTTTTTCCCAACCTCATAATTAAATCTGAAAGATTCCTACAGCGAACTAAGAGGTTTCTAATGAAGTACTAAGCTGCATTTAGAATTTGAGCAATGAAAGGCTCTTTGTTCTCATTTCAAAAGGTTCCAGTGCTGAACAATTTGGCTCCCAATACAGGCATGTTTTAGACCACCTGCAGACTCTAATCTACGCAAATTTATTTGGTACAAACTTTCTTCTACGTCACCTTATTCAGTTTAATTCCAGAGAGGTTTATTGCTAACGTTTAACAGCATTAATAAGAGAACAGCTGTTCTCATGGGGGCTGCCCTGAAAAGAAAAAGAGAAAAATTGAGCTTTTGTTACCTCTTCCCTACGAATACACTGCCATGAATGTGTATAACATTCAGATGGAGTAATCACCTTGAGCAGTAGTGTTTCTCCTATCACCACGATTCAAATCTATCCTTTAGCCAGTGCTCATGCGTAACTCTCTTGATTCAAAGTATAGGTTAAAAAGTATATTAACATTTAAAAATTTCTCAACAGAAACTGATTTGTACTAACTACAATAAAAACAAAGTAGAAATAGGCAAGTAGATGGCTTTGGTAGAAGAGTAATTTTATAAATGTGCTTTTAAAAATCGAATGTAGGGGCATCTGGGTGGCTCAGTTGGTTGAGCATCTGACTCTTGATTTTAGCACAGGTAAAGATCTCAGGGTCATGGGATCAAGTCCCGATTCTCTCTCTCCCTCTGCCCCTCCTTCCCTCTCTCTAATAAAAAAAAAATCTAATATAGTAGTAATATGTCTTATTGATTTTTATAGAAATAATTCAGATTTCTTTAAATTTAGTGTGTGTGTGTGTATCCTTATTAAGAAACTTTCAAATGAAGAAATTGATGTCAGGCTCCAGGACCCCATCACCTTCTGTCTGTATACATGCCTCTCACTCTGCCTGGGATGCTGCCCACACCTTCTTCACCCAGTGTGTTTAATTCTCAAAACTTACATCTCATCTCAGGTGTCCTATCCCTTGAAAAGAATCTTACCTATTCCCTTGCAGATCGAGTCGTGTGTGTTGCCATGGTTTGATGTGTCAGAAAGAAATTGCACTGCACGCTTATTAAAAATGTCAAGAAAGACTTTATTCAAGATTACTGCAATCAGGAAGAGATATTAAACTCAACTCTATTGAAACTAAGGCTGGACAATTTTTAAGCACTAGCATGAGCTATTGAAAAAGTACTACAGGACCTTAGAGGGAAGTTGGTCAATGTGATTGAGCCATCTGTGTTTGCTAATTGGTAGTTGTTGAAGTTGGGCACTTACCCTCCCATGGAGACTGGAAGTTAGAGACCCTGTTTTTCTCAATGATTTAATTTCAAAAGAATCACACCCAGGTACTTGAGAAAGATGCTCCTGGGTTATAAAACTGGCTAGAAGCTGGGAGAAGATTTACCTGTATTACAAAGGAGCAGAGAAGGTATTTGCACTTTCAACCCTTAAAAAGTAAATGCTGTAAGGAAAGGGAAGTCAGAGAACTATAATCTGGAAGAAACCAGTCTAAAGTTAGTCAAGCTAAGGGGAACATTAATTCCATCTTGATCACATGCGTACATTGTCATAAAACACAAATACATCATGTGTATTTCATTTTTTGTCTTCTTTGCTCTCTTCCCTATAAACTGCAAGCTCTCTTAAGGCAAGTTCTTGGACTAATCAATCTTTGTGTCTGTAGCATCCAGAAAATTGCTTGTCAATTAATAGGTGGTCAATATAAGTTTGATTGATGGGTTTATCTCATAAGTAAAATAATACAGTAAATTGTTTTTTAAATTTTTGCTTATGATTCTGCCTGTATCCATTCCCTCTGGCATTTATTCAACTTAATGATTTTGTTATGTGTCTGTATGGTTCAAAAGTAATTCAGGATAATTTAATGTCCTTTTATTTGATCTGTATTTTTAAATTGATCTTATCCTGTAAAATGCAAGAAATTTTTGTGGTATATTATAATAAAACTGTTGAAGGACTTCCATAAAAATTTTGGTGGCTGGCTTCCAAGAGATCTAGTTCCTTTGGCACACCTTATAGCAAATAGATTTTTTTTTCTTATTGTTACTATTTTTTCTTCTTTTTTTTCTTCCTCCCCCTCCCCCAGATTATACATTGTGAATCATTGCTACTTCATTAAGTAAACCCAAATATCCCTGCTGACCATATTGGTAACTTGTACTATTAACTCTTAACGTAGTCTCAATTAGATCAGAATATCCTATGGACCACTTTTTCGTATCACTGTCATTTTTATGACATATCAACACTTCACCATTTACTTGCAACTGTGGAGCAGAAACTAGGGAGAACATAATTCATCTAGTAAACTCTTACTGAATACTTACTGAAGTCTGGAGTTTTGTGAATATACATACAAAAGGAGGAACAGGTTTCTGTCCATAGGGAAGTTTACAGTCTAAGAGGGGATCTTAGCCTACTTTCTGAATTCTTGGCCTAAGTCTAAAATGGTCACTCAGATAAAGGTATTAAGGGTTATATTCTGTCTGTGAACAGACCCTTTTCTAAGCTCAAGATGAGCTGTCTACTTTACCCCTGCCCTTGACGGTCTCCCAGATATTTCGTTTTCAGCATCCCCCTCAAATCTCCTCATCTAACATGGCCTTTCTCAGTACATCTTAATACCAGCTACTCGACAGCTCAGGCCAGACAGCTCAGGGTTTTTGTTTTGTTTTGTTTTTTATTAGTTTCAGAGGTAGAATTTAGTGATTCATTAGTTGCATATAACACAAAGTGCTCATTACATCAAGTGCCCTCCATAATGCCCATCACCCAGTTACCCCATCCCCCCACCCATCTGCCGTCCAGCAACCCTCTCTTTGTTTCCTAGAGTCCAGCGTCTCTTATGGTTTGCCTCTGTCTCAATTTTCGTCTTATTTTTTTCCCCTCCTTCCCCTATGTTCATCTGTTTTGTTTCTTAAATTCCACACATGAGTGAAATCATATGGTATTTGTCTTTTTCTGACTTATTTTGCTTAGTGTAATACCCTCTAGTTCCATCCACGTCATTGCAAATGGCAGGATTTCACTCCTTTTGATGGCTGAGTAATATTCCATTGTACATATACACCACATCTTTATCCATTCATCTGTCGATGGACATTTGGGCTCTTTCCATATTTTGGCAGTTGTGGACATTGCTGCTATAAACATTGGGGTGCAGGTGCCCCTACAAATCACTATGTTTGTATCCTTTGGGTAAATACTTAGTAGTGCACTTGCTGGGCCATAGGGTAGCTCTCTTTTTAACTTGATTCCTCCCTCTTCTTTTTTCCCTACATCTAATCAGTTGCCAAAGTCCTGTTGATTAAACCTCACAAATGTATCTCACATTTATCAAATTCTCTTCATTTCCATTACCTTCACCCCATCCCAAGCCACCATCATCATGCCATATTCTCTCAACTGAGTCCTTTTCCTCTCTTCTTGCCACCTTTAAAAGATTCTGTAAGACTCAGTGTGATTGCATCTGCTTTTTCACTGTCTCCCCACTAGAGTAAAAACTCCATGCTGGCAAGCATTATGTCTATCAGTGAATGACCAGAACCTTGGTATGTATTAGGTGCTTAATAAATAGATAAGGAAGTGGAAGACTAAATAGTGAATTATGGTACCAATTCAAATTCTTTAACATATCTTCTGTTTCTTCTGTTGAAATTGATTTTATTACACTTCCTCAACCAAGAGATGCAATTCTGTGAGAATTGGCTTCAGTGAAAACTGAAGCCAATTCTGTGTTGAAAACATGAACTGTTTGGGTCACCAAGACAATGTAATTTATCTATTACAAGCATATTTGCTGAGCCTCGTTCTGTATAAGGTGTATGTAGGTCTCTACAAGGCTCCCTAAAAGAAGCTGAGTCTAATAGAGGGGCTAATGCCTAGAATATATGAGAACAAGATAAGTGCCCTAAAGGATGCACATTACTGAGGAAAATGTTTTTGTTACAAGTGAGAAGACTCCAATCAAGTGAGCATATACAAAATGGAAATGATTGGTTCAGGTAAACCTAATGTTGTCTAGTATCCATGCTTACTTGCACCTGCCCCTGTCTCAGGGACCCCCGCCTGACAGCCTGATCTTCAACCTTGCTTTCTTCATGAGACTGGAACTATAGCCAGCTCTATGTTCCCTTCATTCCAGATAAACAAGCAGAGGAGAAAAGATCCCCAGTCCCCATTCCCTTACTCATTCTCATTCTGTGCCATTGGGAAAAATCCCAGGGAAGGACTCTAACTGACCTGATTTGGGTCACATATATACCCTTTGACCAGTCACTGCGACACAGCTGTGTTGTCAGAAGGGTGGGGGGAGTAGAGTTTGACAACCTTTTCTAGAACTACATAATTAGAAAAGGGATGAGAGTTTCCACTCAAAGATTTTGGCTATACGATGATCAGAAAAAGAGGTACTGATAATGAGAAAGGAAAAAAAAATGAAAGCAGTCTACTCTGAGAAGTATATATGGAGTGAAATGAGAGTTTAGAAGAGAGGGAGAGGGAGAGATTGTTTTTTAGAGGAGGAATTCAGTGAAATCGGATTGGGTCTTAAAATAATAAGTGGGCGTGAACTTTCAGTGACTGAGAAGAGCATTTGAGAAAGAGGGCAGTACCAGCTTGAAAGCAGAAGAGTTCACAGTATATACAGGAGAGAGAACAGTGAAGTAGAGACAGAAGCCAGGCTGTAGAAGAAGGAAGACTGCAAACATGGGTTCGTGACACTTGTGGGAGAACTTTGAGAGGAGTTTGACGTTAATTTTTTAGTCTGCGTGAAGCAGAACAATAACACTGAAACCAACTTTAAAGAAATCATTCTTGTAGACTTGTGCGAGTTGAATTAGTTGACAAAGTGAAGACGTAACGAGAGGTTCTTCCAGTGGTCTAGGTGAACAGTCTTGAGGATCTGAATGTATTGAGAATGATACCAAGAAGCAAGCAAAACTTTGTATTGGGCATTACTTAATATTAAATCCTGTTCACGGTATGTCTTCATGATTTACGACCGATTGTTGCGGTCTTCCTCTTATTTCCCCACTCTTGCAAACAACGTCATTGTGATAAATCCAGTGACATACGTATCCATTTGGTACTTAGCTCCTGTTAATAATGTGAAAAGAAATAACTGAGCACACAAATAAGTGATTTGGTGTTTTCTCAGGAAAGAAAACTTTCAAAAGGAGGAAAATCTACTGCCAAATAACTCAGCACCTCCTGCAGAACCACAAGATGTGGAAGAAAGTCATTGAAGAGGAACAGCGGTTGGCGGGCCTGGAGAATCCGTCCCTGGACCCGTCCCCCCAGCAGCATTCCTCAGATCAGATCCAGGCCATCAGGGAAGAGGAGGAAGAGAAAGGGAAGCCCAGAGGAGAGGAGATCCCGACCGCCGAGCAAAACCAGTGACAGCTGGATACAATGAGCTGTGTTTCCAAACAGAGTGACTCGTCACAGACTCTTTTCAAGCCAGCACAACACTTAGACACAACACTGTAGAAATACGAGAAGATGGGCAAACAGCTATTGCATTTTGGGATTCTTCGCATTTTATGTGTTTATTTTTACAGTGAGGTACATTGTTAAAAACTCTTGCTCAGAGAAGCTTTCACATTTGCAACACCAGCTTCTAAGGATTTTTTAAAGGAAGAAATATATATGTGTGTGTATATAAGCTCGCACGTAGATACATGTAAAACATATTCACACACATACACGCACATGCACACTGAAAGCCAGGCTTACTGGCTCCACAATTTAGTAACATTCATATTAAGATATATAGTGGTCACTGTGATATAATAAGTTATAAAGGAAAAAATAAAGGAAAACAAATCACAAAGGCAGTGGTGCGGCTTAGCAGGGAAACAGTGCAGTGAATGTAGGTTACCAACTAAGGAGCTTGTGCTCTTAGTCCTGACGGCTGAAAGTTCCAGAGCATTATTTGAATTCTTACACATCCTGCCAACATTGTGTGTGTGTGAGAATGTGTGTGAATGTGTGTGTATGAGAGAGAGGAGTGAAAGGGTGCTTGTGTGTATGTATGTGTGTATGCAAAGAGAGATTTTTATGGTTTTAGTAGTTCATAGAATAGCTGCAGCGGATGACGCAGCACATCTGAACAAACAGAAGGCAGTTCATCCTGGAGTGTCTTTGAGAGGCCGCCGTCCCACACGCCTTCCTCCATGCGGTTTCAGTAGAGATCCCTCCGCAGAGGGAGGGTATTCACAAGCTGGTGAGAGGGCCACGTGACTGGTACTACTGCTCATGCACCACTTGGAGGCGCTCTATCGCCAGCCTTAAACCTGGAAGACAGGCATTTTCCAATCTACTTGCCTAATGAATGTATAGGAGCTGTTTGTATGTCACTCACCGAAGATCAAATCACCTTTTTAAGGGGATGGCATTCTTTATACATAAACACCTAAGAAGGAGCTGGAGGCAGATCTTTTAATTAGGTTAGAATTCTCAAAGGTTGCCAGAGAAGACCTGGGGAATTGCTCTTAACAGTGATCCCCCATGTCTTAGTTTGCTGCAACATGTGTGATAGAAAAAGAAGAAAGAAAAAAGGCAAAAAGAAACCCACTGTGGGAGGATATATAGTGAGAGATGAAGGGGGAAAATTTGAACCCGGGGTTTGGTGTTTGTTGACATAGTGAAAGACCGATTCTTGGCAACTATTGAAGATTGGCTTTGGGTGACGAGGTTCCCACTGATGGCCCTGTTGTGGTGGTCCATGTGCTGTGGGATGGGGTGGCTTCTATCTGCAGTCTGGCCCGTTGTCTGTTCCTTTTGGCAGGGAAGATTATAGAGGGATTTGGGGGGGACTGGGCCTATTATTGAGTCTTTTTTTTTTTTTTAATTTTGTTTATCTACACTTGTTTATGCTGTGAGCCAAACCTCTATTTAAAAAGTTGATACTCACTTTCAATATTTTATTTCATATTATTATATTTGTCATGAATAGTTATCTCGATGTAAATATAAGATTTTTTTGTTTCTGTAGATAGTAAACTCTTTTTTTAAAAAAAGAAAAGGGAAACATTTTTATAAAGTTATATTTTAATCACCATTTTTATACATTGTATCTATCTCCAAGCCCAGTAAGAGAGTGATGATTCATTTGCACGGAGGTCTATGGACAGCCGCTTATCTACCTATCCTAATTTAAATGATAATCTGATACAGTTGTTTTATGCCAATTAAGTGAGGATGCCACAAAGGTTTTTTCACTAGGAACTTTTACTAACTTTTGTGTAACTTTGGGGTCCATGTCTCCCAAAGAGAAAGACTTTCTTAACCAATACCGAATTTTTATGATTGGTGTCCATTTCTTGCCAACACTTTTTGGTCATAGTTCCTCCTTCAATACTATGTACGCAACTGCTCATCAATGAAACGATCTTAGCTTCTAAGGAGACCTTGATGGTGATTTCTAATTTTTATTTCCTCTGACGTCATAGAAAAGAGTGTTTACATTTTAAAGATGCCTTTGTTTCTCATAAATGAATATTCTTCCCTCCCAAAACAATGATTGTACATTAACCCGTGGCGTTTTCCACACAAGGCAAAGATAATATCAAAAACAAACACATTTTCCAAGCAAATTTCCCATTAAGTAAGAAAAAATGAAAAGGCTCAAGTAAATGCAGGCTCTACTTAAAGAATGAGAATAATTTCATATTTTTTGACTTAACACTAGGTCTTCATTATTCAGTATGTACTGAGTTTTCCATTTTCGTAGTGTTGCCTGTGTGTCTCATGTTTGCAAAAATTACTGTGAGTCAGATACATTTATTTCCCCAGTGACTTTAACTGTTCTCCAGCCCTTGCAAATAAGAGAGGAGGGGAAAAAAAAATTGTGCTCACGTACCTCTTGCATTTAATTCCTTAACAAAACGAATCTTTTCCCTTTCTCCAAATGCCATACATATCTAAAACACTTGTTAAGTCGAGGAAAAATATGGTTGTGGAGCAAGTGGAATGACAGCTGTACAGTTGAGAGTCTAGAAGCATACAGTGGCAGCTTTGTCAAAGCTGGAAAGCCCCAAACAGGGGCCAGCCTGACTGCCAGAGTAGAGGTCTTAGCAAACTACCTGGTTTCATTTATTTTGTTTTAAAATACATGAAGTAATGGTGGCCAAAGCACTTAGAACCTCTTCATTCCAGAATTGTGTTCATCAGTCCAGGCAGATTGACCATTTTTTCTTCAAAAATAAATTCCCAGTCTATTAAAGCTAAAAGTCCGTTGAAATAAAGGAACAGAGATCAAGTATGAGACTTTCATAAACATTCATTACATCCCAAAAGATGCCTAGGGACATAAAGAGATGTTTTCCGCTGATGATATTCACCCTCGCCTTGGTGAGAGCAATATTACCGTGTTCACTTCCAACCCTGGAGCTTACTCCCTGTGGTGCCAGTGTATTTGTTGCCATTTACTACATTTTTATATGAGCCTATGTATAGGTGCCATTAGATAAACTCAGGTCTTTCAAATGAAGGAATTTCTAGCCCATTTAGGAAAAGGGATAATTGTATAGATAGCCATAAAACCAATGGTAGGAAAATTTGGAACTGGTGACCTTGATGCTAGGGGTTGCTTTCTGTTAAGGAAAAGACCAGGTATCCTGTGAGCATCATTGGTGTTATTTCCAGCGTGCTCATAGAATGTTTTTTCGGTTATCCGTCTAAGCCAACCTTTAGGATATTGTTTCCTTGGTGAAAACACCACTTTAGTTTTTTTCTAAGTGATAAAATTGTATTTTTTGTCATTTATATAAGACTTAGTTTTGCTCTCAGTAGAAGATGAAGACAGTAGCTCTGGATAGATCTCTGTTGGTCTTCATCTGACAAGTGAAGGGATGTCCTCATATTTAAGGAAATACTCATTTTCTAAAAGAATACCCAATTCTGTCTGTTCCATTTTGATGGAATTCCAGAACAAACCCTAACCATTGCAATCCCAGTAAAACTAAAGAAAAGGGATTGTAGGACACGCAGACTGTTAATATTACCTGTATGTATTGTGATTTCCTCATGTCCCCTGCCTCTCTTGATTTACGATTTCCCGACGTCCCCTGTCACGTGCCCGGAGAACTTTCTTTGAGGGTAAAAGCTGTGCAAAATGCATGAGACTCAGGCCTATTCTTTGTTTAAATGGTGGAAAAATATAAATTATTTTCTAAGTAATAAAGATATGAAAATTATCATCGTAAATAAAGTCTAAAGTTTGAAATGACTGTTTTACAAAAGTGAGCTATTTGTGTGATGAACAACTCCTGAGTAATGAGAAGTGAATAATCAAAAACTCATTTCTATCCTACTTTGGCAGGTGTTTTTTGGTGCTTCTCTGTCAGTATGGGGATCTCCACTCCTTGCCTTTTAAAATATTTCTAAAACAAGAATGAAAACCACAGTAAGGATCTTACTGTCCTCTCTTCCATCCTAACGCTGAGTCCCCACTTGATGCCTTTCCTAGCTTATATGCCACTTTGGAAATAAACTGTCTTTTCAAACTGGCAGAAGGCTCTAGTAAAACAGAGTTTTGTAAACTTTCGTAGTCTGGGGTAAATCAAGATTCTCCTTATTCTAGAGATTATCAGCTCCTGCACGTGGAAAGAAAATATCAATAAAATTTCAAATGCTAATAGCTCAACTCCAGACCACTGAGAGCTAAAATATCAATATAGTTTGAATCCAAACTGAGTTTCCTTTGTTCACCTTTTCTCCTAACAAGCAACAAAATACCTTATGATCATTGTTCTAGGTCATTCATTTCTCTCGTGATTTTTCCATGAAAGAAAACCGAATTTGCCGATATTGTCAGTCTGTGTTTCTAATCTGTTCAACAGAATTCCACTTTAAGATTAGGAAACCAAGTAGCCATTTTAGGTGAGGAGCATTCCAAAATTAAATTACTCGTAGAACTTCTAATCAGAGCAAATTATGCAAGTTTTAGGTCCTATATTCATATCAGGTTGTTCCTCTAGAAAATATTCAAATTCTTATAGCAAGTTTGCGATAAATTAACTAGACTATAAGCACTGAGTTAATGAAACCGCAAACAGAGCATTGAATAACTTAACTTGAGGTTTTGCATGGTATTTACCATGTTTAGCACTGATGATCCATGGTCGGAGAACAAGAACAGGGTTTTCAGTCTCCATGATGCACCATGGATGGTAGGGCATTTGTGTATCACCACACATTTCATTTGTTAAAATGATGCTGCTTTTCCCTTACCTAACGGTGCTTTTACCTCACCTGAAGTGTTCTTTATGTTCATACTATGAAATCATTCTAACAGCAGGTTAACAATGGTGACACAAAAGAATTGGGCATTTTGTTGCCAAATACGTTTAGAGATCCAAAACTGAACATTAAAGCTTTATTATTTGGTGGAACTCAGTGTTCACATCTGCAGATTAAAAAATACTGATCCTCCATTAATTATTTAAGTGCAGTAAGACTGTAAACTACGTGGAATTATATAGAGATGGAAAACAAAATTGGTTTTTGGTATATGCTTCAGGTTCTAAAAAGAGCCTGAATTTCCTATCTAAGGGCAGCTAGTTCTTCTCCATATTATACTTCTGAGGTTGATTGCCTTAACAGGCATTGGTATTCATGGATTTCTGCTTCCCTGAGGAGTGGTGGAACAGAGAAGTCAAGCCGACGCCTTCTTGATAAATACTGAACATGTGCCTGTTCAGAAAGGTTTCTTCATTGCTTCACATCAAGAAGTGGTT